ATTGCATATAAATAGAAATTAAGTAAATAATTTAATTGCTATATAAAGTTGAAAATTACAAGACAATCTTAGAAAATAATCAAATCAAAAAATCAGAACAGATAAAAATCAATTTAAATATTTGAGAATAATAATGAAGTATAAATTCAGGTGTTCATAATAAATTGAAGTTATTAAATAAAATAGGACCTTTTGTTAGTAATGATACAGGCTACCCTCTCTTTTTTTAAATTATTTGTATAATAAAAGAAATGGCTTTAGATCATAATAACACTTTCAAAGTGAAAATTTCTTATTTAATATGGTCTACAGTCTACAGAAACACTTAAATTCAAGAGAAAGATTAATACTAATGTAAAACACATTAAGGATGATGTTAAAAAAGAGTAGATCCAAAATCTCTTATCACTATTTTGGAATTAAATTAGTATAACATTAATAAAGGCTAAGAATCCTATATTTAGGTTAAGAAGGTTTTGTTTATTATTAAACTTTTGAAGGTTCATAAAGAAAGCAAGATCAGTAATCAAAATGAAAAAAATGCAAAATTTCAAAAAAATATATGAGGTTTTTAAGGATGGTGAATTTTTTTTGTTCAAAACCATGAGAAAAGATTTTAAAACACAAAGTAAAGTTCGTAAGACTTTATTACTCAATAATCATCTGTATATAATTGATCTATCATAAAAATGTTGTAATATTAAATTTAAATTAAAATGTTTCAAAAAATCTATTCTTTTTAGATATCAATTGAATTATATAAAACTTTTAGCCAATGACTTGTTTGTGTATGTCTATAGAAATCATTTTGATCATTATTTGCTATTTCCATACACTATATTATAAAATAAATTATATTAATTAGAAAATATCCTCATATTAATTATTTATATTAACATATAAGATATTATTATCAATAAAAATTTAATATCATGCAAGTAAAATAAATTTAAGACTCTTAAGAGACAATTTGTAAGATTCATAATTTGGAATTTATTGCTGTTGACTTGGATATGTCAGATAAATCCCAGATTTAATTTTTTTGTGGTAAATGTTTAGTGGATAAATTAAACAAT